CCAATGTGCCAACAGTCTCATTGTGAGAATATACTTTATTTCAAATTAGAAAATTAACAGATTAGCTCAGCTAGCTAAAATAACATGCTAGCTAAGGTGACATGTTTTTACTGTATGTCATCTGCAAACCATGCTATAATGACATAATTTATTACATCACACTAATGTGGAGTGTTATATTCAGACCACTGTAAGTGATGATTTGAATGAAATTTCACAGAAGTCACTGAATCAAGTATACCAGTGAAATGTTTACTGCTTCATTTCATGATATTCCAGAGTCGCATACAATTCATGAAAGTTAGTCCCTTGTAATATTAAAGCTAGTCACAGTATAGGGATGGTGTATTTGCTTATCACAATTGAATCATTGTATGTGTGTGAGTAATACAATGTCAGTTGGAGCATCATTCCTTGCACTCATACTGCTTTTTGTACATTCTGAAACGATTATTTTATCTTGTAGAGTATTTATCAATACCTTCTGTACAAAAATGAGTATTACAAAGAATTTTTATAAATGATAATGTGAATACTGCTTTTAAAGCAAATACCCTTTGTTTTGTATTTCCATGTCATAATTTGTTGCTATGCCAATGTAAACACAGTTTTTAGTTTAGGATAACTGCAAAATTTTGTAGCTGTGAAAATTTGACTTGGGTTCATTACACAGGAAGGTCTCAAACAAATTGTGAACATTTTAGGCATCACAACTGTAACTGTACAATATGTATGCTCTATATTTACTCTGTTAGTATAACAGACGTATCCATGTTTCAAATAAGTCATATTTTAATAATCCAGCATACTGTGCTATGTATTTGTTGACTTAAACTTGGTCTCAATGATTTTGAAAATAAGCTATTTATTGTGTCATTGTCCCTTTCAAGGGACTGTGATATTGTATATACGTAAATACATCATTAATCTATTTAATAGTAAACTATCTCTCCAACAAGTTTGGTATTCGATAACATATGATCACATTATCTAGCCTTTAATATGCTAGTTGTAATTATAACATAGACTCTATGATTAATTTCTTTTCAGAAATAAGGTTAAGCAGGGCATTACATTTTTAATCTTACTTTTTAACACCACTTTAGTTATAGAATTTTATTATACTTTTATTGAATATGCTTTCTTAGTAAAGTATATATTGCATTCAATGTATACTGGTACATTTTTCTGTACATATTCTCATATCCACTTTTTGATGTGTTTAACTTGTGTAGTATTTTATACCACTATTGGTCATGTAACATTGTTTTGACCATGCATTTGCTGTGGCAATCTTGCACATGAATTTGTGTGTCTATTCAAACCTTGGTTGTTTTTCATATGCATCTTGGTAATTATTTTGGTTCATGTATATTAGTAAACCAAAACACTTGTATGCCTATTAGTGAATTCTTAGGCATTTCTGAGAAGATTGTGTCCAAGTTTGAGGCAGAACTATGTTTGAACTATGACTTCAAGATGGGAGTAACTACCTATAATTCCTATTCTATGATGGATCTTGTTGGGAGACCACGGTACAAATAAACATGTAAAAAATACAGTCACTGTGATGTATATAATTATTTGTTACTGAACTAACTACTATATGGTGCTACTGTTCATGAAGCATGCTGTTTTTTATTTTCAACCATTGCTGAAACTTTTAGCCATTGGTCAGCGTGCCCTCTAAGCTGATATGATGCGCTCAGAGATTTCCCATGATGCAACTAGTTGTGCTAATTCACTAATGCAACAGAAA